TGCTTTCTGCTCAGCGGATGGTACAGAATTGAAGAAAATTGCTATCAGTGAAAAACTGTAACTGGCTTGAGTGTAACCTTAAAGTATTGTTAGAATTTCAAATGTGTGTTAGTTATCTAATGACTACCCATTCCAGTGTGGTTTTCATCAGCCTGACGAACACTGCTTTCTTCAGCTGGTGATGGTAGTGAGGGGAGTGCGAATGGACACAAAGACGAGAAGAAGCAGCAGTCTGTGCTTCCTGGGCCACTAGATGGCCAAGGGCATTTGCTATACAAAGATAATAAATCATGGCATGTCCTTGCTAACCAATAGCAAAGAGTCCCACAAGTTAGAATTGAGCATCTGTGGTTCTCTCTCTCTCTCTCTCTCTCTCTCTCTCTCTCATTTAGCACAAACCCAGATAATATTTGCAGACAGCAGAATTGGATAAGGAATTTCTTAAACTGCCAAAAGTAAAATTAGAACAAGTGACTTTTAGCTGGCAACTTAAAGCACATATGTGTCAGTTTGTGTATGATGTGTGAATATATAGTGGTTTTTCTCCTCATCAATCTTTAAATATGTGCGTGTGTGTGTGTTTGTGTGCGTGTGCAGACACGTCCTGCTTTAAAACCAAAAAGCTTGCTTCAGTAGGTCCACTATGACATGTGCAGATGCTCAAATAAATGACTTTTAAACTATAGCAAGTTGGTTAAAAGGAGTTTGCTTGCTTTACGGACGTGAGAAGCATAGCGCTTTAGCCTTCCTGAAATTCTGACGTAGGATATAGAAGTAATTTTGTCCGCTCAGAGCTGGTGCTGTCATGATGCTGGCCCTGGGTCAGGTTGGCAGAGTTGGAGGGAGCCTGGTAGGAAGCACTGTTGATGGCCTACCTTGCCTTGGACACAGACATTTCCGTCAAGCTCTCTATCCTTCCTTTGTAAATTTGTGATCCCAAATTCTCTGTCCTCTGCCTTTCTCATTCCAAGACTCCATCCACCTTTGACCATTTCCCCTCTGAATTTGGGCCTCTAGAGTAATACATGGGTTTGTTCCCATGCCACCACATTGCTGCCTGGGTGGCCTCGGTATGTCATTCCCACACCCTCACCTGGCCACAGTGATTGAGTCCTTTACACCATCTGGCTGTGGCACAGGCCTTGGAGAGAGAGCTGGGTTCAAACCCTAACTCTTACCAGCTATGTCAACTTACACAAGTTCTTTTTCCATCCTGAGCCTCAGCTGTCCTTATCTGTACAATGGGCCAGTCCCTCATATTGAGGAGTGTTGTAGAAAAAATGGGTCTGAGTTGAGCATGTAGCAGCATTCATTTGCCAGCACTCATTTGGCGCTCCTGGACCTTGTCTACATTCTCTCTCTCCTTTCCCCAGCTTTGATTTTTGGAAACCTTCTGCATACTTGCTATAGCTGGTTCCTATCCCTTTGCCCCCTACTAAAGCTATTTAGAGCTGCCAGGAGCTCCCCAGGGGCTATATCCAGTTCTTAACCTGGTCCTCACTTCCATGACCAGCATTGGATACAGGCGCTTCCTGCCCCGTAAACTTCCCTTTGCTTAGCCCTGTATTCTTTCTGCTCTCTTCTACCTCTCTCAATGCCTGTTCTTTCCTCTCCTGTGACCTGTGGCAGGGCAATGGGTCACCACCCCCTGCTGCTCTGTCCTAGGAGAGCCCTGATTTCCAAATGCATCTCTTAGCCATAAACTACCAGGATGGTGGCCGTCAGCCATGTGTGTCTGTAGAACACTTAACCTGTGGTCAGTCAAAACAGATGTACTTAAGTGTAAAATAAAACTCATAGAAGATTGCAAAGACTTAACGGGAAAAAAGAATGTAAAATACCTTATCAACATGTGAAAGGATAGTGTTTGGGATGTATGGTGTGAAATGAAATTAAACTTTAATGCATATGTTTGTTTGTGTCTTTAATATAGTTACTAGAAATATCATGTGTGTGCCTGGCAGTGTTTTTATTGGATAGAGCTGCCTTGGAACCAGGAGCCCAGCTCCAAGGGCTCTTCTGCAGGTGGGCTGATCTGCCTGCTGGTTCTCAACTCACTTTGAAAGCTTGTTTGTTTATCCACTTGTTCATTCATTGATTTCCTGCTCATTGAGTCCCTCTATGTTCCAGGCCCCACTGTAGGCATAGAGAAGACAGAAAAATGCTCTGTGAGGTGTAACCCAGGCTCATTGGTGCTCTGGGCAAGGATTCCAGCCTGAAGGTTTAGGCTGGTCTTTTTGCTGCCTGAGGAGGACACCCCCCTCCCCCCGCCAGTTCACAGATCACAGAGTGCCCTGCTTCAAACCCTGGCCATACCTGCAGCCTCCTCAATAGTAAGGTGAGGTGCTGCGACTACTGTGGGATGGGATGACCCAGAAAGGTCCCAGGTAGCCCCTCTGGGCAAAGGAACATGGGGCCTGGGGTGGAATACAATCAGCTTCTGTTCTTGAGTTGTAAACTCTCCCGAGCCCAAGTGCCCTCAGGAAAGTAGTGCCCAACCCTATGTTGGATGCTACAGATAAAGCCCATTCCTGGCCCTCCCACAGCTCCAGACTGGACAGGAAGAGGATGCACTCCTGACTGTCACCACAGTCCGACTGTAGAGTTCAAAGTGAAATGCCCAGAAGCATATCCTGAGATAGTGAGTCCTGGCTGCTTCCACTTCTGCCCTATCTTGATCTAGGCACCTTGGAGCCCTGGGTCCCTCTTTCAGTAACTGAAGGAAGGGTCATCAGAGGCCACCTGCTATCAATTCAGAAAAGCAGGGTCCTGGGGCAGAGGGCACCCAAGGCACACATAGTACACCCACCTGTGTTTATGCCTCCTGCATCATTGCCTGTAGCCACCAAGTCCCTTGCAAAGAAGTGTGGCTTATTCCTCCTGATTAAAGCATAGGCTTTGCCATAGACCCTGACTAGGATCAGACAATCTTACTTCCCATCATTCTTCTCCCTTCACGTCCTCTTTTAATTTCCTTTTCAGTGTTAGGTTTAGGCCTTTCTTAGAGTACAGAGGGGTAACCAAAGGAAAGTTTTACTTTGTTTTAGTATATGTGCTGCCAAAGGGAGCAAAAGTTTTACTTTCTTATTGCAGCTGTAGCAATTTACGTAGTGTCTTCAAATGACAGAAATCCATCATGGGACAGTGCTGGAGGTCAGGGATCCAAAGTGGGGTCCACTGGACTCACACAAAGATGCTGGCAGAGTTGTAGTTTCAGAATCTCTGGGAGGATCTGTCTCTCTTTTCCAGCTTCTCCTGGCAGCCCACATTCTCTGGCCAGTGTCCCAACATCATCCCCTCCTCAGCTTCCATCCTCAAATCTCCTTCCTGACTCTGGCCCTCCTCCCCACTTCTTGTGAGGGCACTGTGATAACACAGTGCCCAACTGGATGATCCCAGATCATCTCCCAGACTCATAGCTCCTAGCTTAGTCATACCCACAAAGTCCATTCCTTCCACCATGTTACCTAACTTATTCACAGGTTCCAGGCATCACAACATGGATATATTTAGAGTATTTTATTTATTTGAGACTGGTAAAGAGTCCGATTTTTTTTTGTCCTTAAACTTGGTGTAGAAAGACAGAAAACCATCCAGTAGAAGAGCAAATTGTTGGGTTTTTCCAAGGAAATAATGGTGTCATATTTAATAATGTATTCTTTAGAAAATGGAAAAGGAAAAGGAAAATAATAGATTTGTGTCTGTGTGTTTTGCTGGGGATGGAACCCAGAGTCTTGCATATGCTGGGCAAGTTAGTTATATCCAGCCCTTATAGTACTTCTTTGATGAAATGTTTCCACCAGGTTGTGACACAAAATAATGTGTGTTATGTATGACAGAAGCTCATTGGACAACCTTGTCTAGTGGGTTCCTGCGATAAAGATGTTCAAGATCTACCAGCCTCACAGGGCCACTAAGCATTTGAGATGTGGCCAGTATGACAGAATTCGTTAACTTTATTCCTTTCTAATTAAGTCTCAGTCAGCTACAAATATCCACATGTGCTTGGTGGTCCCATGTGGGACAACATAGTCTAGGGCAAGGCTCCCTAACCAGGCTCTTGGGGAGGCCCTAGTAGAATAATTTGTAGTTCTCTCTAAGAGCAAGATAGTAGCTTTCCTTGAATTCTGAGAAAGCTTCATGACCCCAAAAGCTAAGTGGCCTCCTGGCTATCTTGTGAGACTATGGCTTGATTCAAATTTATCTTTCCTCTTATGTCTAATTGTAGCATTGGGTTTGTTTTTCTGGAATAATACCTTTATTTTCTCCCCATGTCATAGATCGACTGATGTGTTTGTCTTGATCAGTACTGGTCAGTTTCAACTGGGCATGTACATAAAGTGAGCTTTGGAGCTTAAATAATTGTTATTGCCTGATCCTAGTCCCAGACCTACTGACTCTGATCCCACACATAGATTATGCTCAGAAATGGGGCTTCTGTGTTGAAACTGTCAGTGAAGAAATTGCCCTCTTCAAGTACTTTCCCAATTACTTCATTTTAATTAAAATACTCTGGAAGAGTTAAAGACATACCTACAAGATGCCCCCATGTTACCTGGTGGCTTGGGATAAAATTCCTAGTGACTAACTGCATCAGACATGGATTCAGAACAAGCTGGATCTCCCACTAACAGTGCACAAAATAGCTGCTAAATTTCGGGACCATGGCCTAAATCCATCTCAGAAACAGCATCAAACCTACATTATTTTATTCTAAGTCAGTGATCTCACATAGACCAACAGCAAAACTTTAGTCCTTAGCACATTCCAACCAGGACTTAGCAGAAATAAAATCTAGTATTCTTACATAAGCCAGTGTAAATTCTGGAGTGGGCACTGTTGATGATTTTAGGAGTGAAGGTCAGGAGGAGGAGCCAGGGTGGTTTTATGCAGTGATAATCAGCACAGAACCCCAAGCAATTCTTAGGAAATCCTAACCAATGTTTCCCTTCTCTTTATTCCTCCAATGGGCCATTTGCTGACTCACTCTCCCGCTCCAGGATTTGCGCAAGCAGGTAGCACCACTGCTGAAGAGCTTCCAGGGGGAGGTAAGCCTTTATCTTCACTCTGTATCCCGAGCTCCCTTCATACTGTCTTTCTTGTTACTCATGTTCGATAAATGCCATTGACAGAAGGTACTTACCCTAATGAAGACTTCCCAGGCTACACTGACCCTGCATCCCAGATATTTTGTGCTTTCAATGGGACTTTGTCCACTGAGTCCTCAGCGGAAGCCCTTCTGGAAAGAGAACCATGTTTGGGATACAAAAAGATGTGGTGCATTCCAGGGACAAGTACCTCCCTGCATGGTTGTGCTTCCCACAGTGGACCAAGGTTGTTCAGCCCCTGTCTTTAGGAACCCACAAACTACTCCAACCAGTCAGTCATCTCATGACCATGTGGACTCCTGCAAGGAATAGATGGATGGTGACAGTCTGGTGCTTTTTGTTGACTAGGGATTGAGCCAAGGGTCTTCACATTGAGCTATATCACCAGCCCTTTTTAAAATTTTGAGATAAGTTCTTGCTATGTTGGCTAACAGGGTATGCTTAAACTTGTGGTTTTCCTGCCTCAGCCTCCTGAGGCTGGGATTACAGGCATGTACCACCATGCTTGGCTTAGTCTGGTGCTTTATGAGAGGCTGGTGGGGAGAAATAGAGTTTCGTTTGATCCACAGACCAAAACAGAGCACCAGGAAGAAGTCACAAGGATAAGCTGAGACACCATATGAGGAAGTGTTTTCTCATGGATTCTTCCACAAAAGGACTGAGGTATCTGGCAGATGAGCCATGGACAGCAAGCCCTGGCCACCTGTGAATGGGAACAGTGCCTACCCAGAGGACTGAGGGCCAAACCGGGTAACAGAGGCTCCTTCCCAGCACTTGCATAGAGATCCGATGAATTCTAGAAAAGCCAGAATTGTGTTTTTGTTGTAGACCTCACTCCCACCTCCTCCATGGTAGAGAAATGGAAGTGGTAGAATACCAGGCTCATGAGGTAAAGTAGCAAGATTTTTTCAGAGTCCTTGCAAGAACTTCCATTGGTGTAGTCTTAGGAATTTCATTTTCTTGCAACAACCCAGGTCACAGAGGACACAGAGTGTGGAGAAGGGGCAGGACACTGGGCTTGGGATGCAAGTGACCAGAACAGGTGCCTCAGGCTGACCCATGTCTTAAGGAAGGCTAGATTCCTAGCATAAGTGGTTGGGCTGCCCTGGTTGCCCTCTCCCTCAGTAGACAAGTGAATGCAAGATGGGGAGGTTATTCTAGGGTGCCAGAAAAAAAGAGTGCAGCAGTGGCTGTGGACGGATACTGAGGACTTAGCGGGTAGACCAGTAAGCTTCTTTTAGTTGATAGTACCCAGCTTTATGGAGCCCCCAATGTCCACAGGTTGGTAAGGCCCCAGGCACAACCTTACCTGGTCTCTAAGGGACTGGAATAGCACTTTCCTCGGGGTCTGTCTCCCCACCCTCACTGAGTGAGTAAAGCTATCACCTGACACCTACAGCACTTGATCTTATCTGTCCTCCTACCTGTGCCACAGCTTTGGAGAGGCTCTCTGGCTTAAGGTCTCTCTCCCTGAAAGGCCCCAATGGCTTTTTGTGTGATCACTTGTTTTTATTTTGTTTGAGAAATCTTCAAAGCTACATGAAAGTAGAAAGTTTAGTACAGTGGACACTTGTATATCTTTACACACACGCCCACTCCCCTGCAGCTAGCCACATCTTCTCCTCTGCCCCAACCTTTGCCAAGAATTGAAAAATGGGGTGGTCACAGCTTGGGTCTGTGACCTTAAATCCATGTGTCTCCTAAAGTTAGGACTGCAGTTAGATACCTCTCAGCATTACCACTTAATAGCAAATCTCACGCAGTACTTCAAGGCTAGACTAATAATTCATCTGAAGTCAAATTTCCCCAGTTATCTCAAGATGTCTCTTATAACTGCCCCCGACCGTAGCACATGGTGTCCATTCAGGTTTGCACATTGCATTTGGTGATATATGGGTATCATGTATGTGTGTATCTATATATTTTAATCTATTTTAATGTCAAATATCCTCTCTATCCCCCTTACCTTTGCTTTTGTATTTTAATGCATTGACTTGAGGAGGAGGCTAAGCCAGTTATATTATAGATAGATTATTCTACATTATGGGTGAGATAATGGGTTTGCTTCTGAACACATCAAATTTGAAATGCCTAAGAGACATCCAGGCTTCCCATTTGCCTGTTTTTAAAAAGCTACTTGAAAGATAAAATATTTTAGCACCCTTAGATTTTATTAAAACTCTAATTGCTATATTTTAAAAAATAAATTGTATTATGTATATTTAAGGTATCAAACATGAGATACATATAGATTATAAAATGGTTATTATAATAAAGCCACTTAACATACCCATCATCACAAATAGTTACCCTAGTACAGTGCAGTAAGATTTTATTAACTATAGTCTTCCTATAACACCTTAGCTCTCTAGGCCTGCCCATCCTATATACTTGCTGATTTCTATGTCTTCTGACCTACATGTCCCCATGTCCTTTTTCCTCCTGAATTGCTTTAATAACATTAAATGAATAATGTTCTTGTTAAATATTTTAGTAGAAAAAGTGCTATCCCACTTGTGGAAGGTTAGATGTGCAGGGCAGAAGATAAGGACGGGAGACCTGTGCAGGCCACTTTTCCTCCAAGTGAGGTGAGGTCATGGACTGTTGCCTGTGTGGGGCAGGGCCCACTGAGCATAGGTGTTTTAGAGCCACCTGCTAAGATTAGAGGCTCCCCTTCTCACATCATGTGCTAAATGTAGTTTTCTTCCTTGGCGAGATTCTTGGAGCTTGTCCCAAGGTACTTAAAGTCCTCTGGCAAAGATACTGTGTTAGTGAAAAATATCTCATTTTCCCAGAATTTTGTTTTGTTTTGCTTTTGTTGTGCTGAGCGTGAAAGCCAGGGCCTTTCATTGCTAAGCCAGCAGCAGTTGACTACTAAGCCCTAGCACCAGCCCTTCCCCAGAGTTTATATAGATTACTTCCTCCCTTGAGTCCTCCAAAAGAAAGCACAAAACAAAAACAAAAGATGTTTTCAGGCAGCAAGAAATTCCCCTAAACTTTAGGGTCCCTGCAATAACACACATGCAGAGTATGCAATAATGTGAAGGAAAGCATGGACCTGTGCTTTTGTGCTCCTCTGTGTATTCCTGTGGTTCTAAGTACAAAGTCCAACCACCTTCCCCTGTGGCCTTGAGACCCTGCCTGCCTGATGGATAGCAGCTCACCTGTCACTCCTCACACTCTGGCCCCCAAACGCCTGGCAGCCGGAGGTCATCCAGCCTCCTCACCCATCTCCAGACTTTTGTGCAAACTGACTTGATCCTGAACAGCCCTTCCCCAATACCCAGCCCACTTCTGCCTGGACATCGCTTCGTCAAGGAAGATCTCTCATCACCTTCAAACAACAGGCTGAGTCAGGCAGGGTTCCCTTGACCATGTTTGAGGTGTTGTTAATAAGATGAAAGAGAATCTCAAAGTTATGCCCAAGAATACTTTTAGAAGACAATAAGTAACTATTGTCTGTGACTGAATAGTTTGAAATGTTACAATCATAATGATTATATTTAATTGTTATAGCAAAGTCATTGAATTTAACTACACAGAAACTTGATTGATTGATTGATTGGTTGATTGGTCTACTTGATCTTTTGTTTCTTAAGCCCAGCCAGCTGATGGGGAGAGGGATGATCCAAATGTTCACTTCAGTTTAAGCATATTCTAGTTCAACAATAATGTCAACAATCACTTGAGTGAAGTAATACACTGTCTAGGAAAATGCTGAGTCTCTTTTTCCCTTATCTCCCAACCTGCTCGAGAAGGTTGAGGGGTGGGGAGCTGATTTAGGTGGCTCCCGTTAGGGATCTGGGTGCTTAAACCAAGTGTGCTCAAGACAGGAAATCCTCTTAGAAAATAATTCAGATGCTTACGTTAGAGGGGAAGCAAAAGATAGAGAATCCTGAGCTAAGCAACAGCTTCAGAAAAGTACAACACAATAAGTTCAAACAGAAATAAGAAAATCTGTAGGGGCCAGGGATTTAGCTCAGTGGTTCTGGCGCCTGCCTTGCAAGCTCAAGGTCCTGAGTTCAATCCCCGGTACCAAAAAAAAGAAAAGAATCTGTATAATTACATTATGTAATAATAAAAGTAGGAACAGAACAGAAATGAATGAAAAAGGTCCAGGAGAGGAACATACTAAGAATTCATTCTTTGAGGAGACTTGTACAATTGACAAATCACTTTATTATTCAAAAAAAAGAGAAAGCGCTAATGTTAGGAATAAAAATAACATCATAGCTGCAGCAGAGATTAAAAAGATAATAAGGGAATATTAATAAGCAGTTTTATTCCAACAAATTTTAAAACTTAGACAAAACAGTCCAATTCCTAGAATACTGTAATTTCCAAATCTGACTAAAGAAGAAGTAGAAAAATTAAATAGCCTTATAACTATTATAAAAACATTCCCATAGGGCCAGGGATTTAGCTCAGTGGTTTTGCCCTCTGCTGCTCAAGCGCAAGGACCCGAGTTCAGTCCCTGGTACAAAAAAAAAAACATTCCCAGGAGATTCAGACAGTTTTCTGGGAGAGTGCTGTCAATCACTCATGGAACAGATAGTTCTAATCTTTTGCAGACTCCTTTAGAAAATAGGAAAGAAGAACATTTCCTAACTCATTTTATGAGGCTTGTGTAACCACAATGCCAAAACTAGACAAGAACAAGAAAGGAAAATAAAAGTCAGTCTTATTTATGAATAGGTCTTCAGGAGACCTTAAAAAGGCAAGTTGAAGGGCTGGGGATTTAGCTCAGTGGTTCTGCCACCTGCCCTGCAAGCGCAAGGACCCGAGTTCAATCCCCCGTACCAAAAAAAAAAAAAAAAGGCAAGTTGAATTCACTAACCTCAGTATATCCCAAGAATGCTGTTTGGTTTAACCTTAAGAAAATTTGTTAATGTTAATTCATATCATTAAGCAGATTAAAGAAGAAAAAATGTCACCTCAAT